TGTGACATTTATTCAGCCCCATGGCTCTCTCCTGTGTGAAAATGGGGTGGAAAGTGCCACCATGTGTCCCTGATCTGGGCAGCAACAGGCAGAGCTGGGGCAGGACTCAGGGCACTCTCAGCCCCAGCTCACTCCATCCTCGGCCGGGATACGACTCCTGGAGAGAGGGTCCCGTGGGAACGCATCCCTCGGTGCCCTGGGCCCAGTGAGGCACTGCTGGGCTGTGCCGCCACCTGGGAACAAGGGGACGTAAAGCACATCCGGGGGGCAGCTTACAATGGTAGCATCTCCCTGCCACTGGTGCTCCAATACCACCATTTCGTGGAGCTGGAGCCACACTGGGGCCCGGGGCCAGCTAGGCGGGCAGCGTTGGCCGGCACTCGAGGTCCAGCACGAGGTGATGCACATGGGGCGCATAGGACTTCACTGCCTCGATGTGCAGGATGCTGGTGCGCCACGGCTGCCCGTGCAGCTCTGCCAGCAGTCCCCGGATCCGTGCCGCCGTGGCTTCAGCCCACCTCTGCCACTCAGGTCTGATCCTGTTCCCCAGCGTCCCCTTACCACCATCCTCCATTGGGTGCTGCGCCTCTCCGTCAGAGCCAGCTCCCTCCAGAGACCCCCGCTCAGCCTGCGGGACCAGGGTCTCTGTCGGGGGCGATGCGGGGAGAGTCTCCACGTTGTGGTGGATGTGGAGAACCCCACCTGTGCCCTTCTTCAGGACACGGCAGGCCACCGGCCAGCCTTCCTCCGAGCTCGGAATCAGCCCCAGATTCACCCGGTCCGCTACATCCCGTAGCTCCAGCTGGAAGGAGAGGGGAGGTGATGGGGATGCCACGCGGGGACAGGGCTCTGTGGCCGCACAGCACTGCTCACCTGCCGGCTGTCCCCGTGGTGGATGCGGCAGCGGTCCTGCACGCCATTCAGCACCAGGTTCCTCCGCAGGGCTTCCACGGCATGGCTGTTCCACTCGCAGGCGTGAGCGAAGGCGTCTGCTGCATGAACCAAGTATGGCAGCGTGAAATAGCCAATGCCTGGGGACAGGAGAGGTGGCAGCAGCTGAGGGCAGGGTCCGGGCACCACCGGGGTCTGTGCTCCTCCCCGGAGGCAGGGCGGGATACAGATTACCACCCCGGCTCTCTGTGTCCACTTTGCTCCAGGTTGGAACAAGCCCAGACGCTGGCGAAAGGGAAATCCACTTGCCTCCGCAAAAGCAAAATCTATCTTGAAAAACGTTTACCGAGGAGCTTATTTTACCTTCAGTCTTTGGCCACTAGCTTGAGACCTGCCCTGACCTGCTTCCACTCTGTACAGAAGTGCCCAGACTACCATTTATTTTAATTAATCCAGAGCAGTTTCATGAGTGTCACATCCTTTCTGTGTGGCACAAACTGGAAGCACTAACTTCCCTAAGCACAAAACAGCAGCTCTCTCGACACACAAACACCTGATGTGATCTCCCCACTCATCTCACAGCACAGGACACTTCAGTTAGCACCAGCTTTTCATGAAGACGCATCAGTACAGGCTCAGGACATCTATGGGAGCTTTTCAGAAACAATATCGAGCACAAATCTTTCCCCTGGATCCAAATGATTCCCATGACCAGCACTAGGTATGGAGCAGCGCTCTGCAGAGCCTGAGTGCAAGGTCATCCCGATTGTCCAAAGGCAACAAGGACACACGAGGGACGGCAGTGCCAGGCTAGCTGAGGGCTCACAGATGGGCAGGAGCTCTAAGCCCAGGTATTTTCCAGTCCAGATTCAAAATGACGTTTCACATCCACCTGGATGCCATCAATACCCGCATCACTGCTTGCTGCCCACCTGCCTCCGCAAGCCTGCCCCGCCAAACCCCTCCGCCATCCCAGTTACCTGCGTAGAGATCCACAAGGACCTCCCCGGAGCAGGGCAGCGAGGCCACCCGCAGCTTCTCTGTGATGTTGCCTGGCGAGAACATGCACTTGGTCACGTCGAACGTGTACCTGGGAGACATCACCGGCCCAGTGAGGGCAGCCCCTTCCCCGTACCAGCTGCATCCTGCGCCGCGGCTCCTGCCTACCTGATCCGGTTGTCCACATGCTCCACCCAGCCATCCTGGCCCAGCAGCAAGGTGACACTGGGGGACCGCATCCCATCCGGCAATACCCTTCCTTGCCTGGCCAGCCGCCGGGCACCCAGAGCTGAGGCGACTGTCTCCCAGAGCACCGGACCTGGAACGCACCCACCCAGGGAGCTTTGGCAAAGGCCACAGCAGCTCTGTGGGCAGGATCTGGGCAGGCAGACCCTGATCCCCCTTACCCAGCTTCTCCCACGGCGCGCTCCTGAAGCTGTCCTCGCTCAACAGGACCAAGTCCCCGTGCCGCTGCCAGGCACGGGGCACGTCACACTCCAGCTCCTCTGACCAGCTCTCACCCAGCAGCCGTCGCAGCTCATCCCGCAGCTTCTGGGCGGGTGTCCGT